TTTTTCTTCACTAAGTTAGATGCTGCATGTATTTCATCAGAGTAAAATAAAGCTAATACAAAATGGTAGAAATATCCCACCAGCCACAAACACAACAACTTGTAAGAGAAATGGGTTCTGCTACAATGAAAGGTCCTTTTGCTCCAGCGGGGCACCTGGAAGGATCGGGGCTGAGGTTGGAGGTTGAGGTTGGAGGTGAGGGCTTGGGTGGCCTAAATGGCCGTGCAGAGTAGAGAGAACACGGAGTTCAGGTGTGAGGGCCAGGAGGTGTAGGAAAGGAACAGGAAGAGGGAGAGGGAGACCCACTGAGATGCTAGGAGGGTAAGCAGCCACCCTAGAACACACCTCCAGAGCTCGTGGCACAGGGTTGTGTTTGGCCTTCCTTGGGATGTCTAAGTTCACCCTGAGGTTGTTTGGATTTCAGCTGCAGGAACCGTCTGCAGCCCTCTGGCATCTCTGATAAAGGCCACACATTCAAGCTACCTTCTAAACGTGGGTTTCCCACAGCAACTAGGAAGGGACTGAGCTTCCGTCTGGGTCAGAAACAGAAACCCAGGACCACCGTGGCTTGAATGGGCTAGTTAGTGGGGGTCAGGAGTTGGGGGCAGCAGCAGCAGTGAGAAGATAAAAACAAATAGTTGCCAAGGAACTTGTGGAAATCCTGGGTAAGCCTTTTAGAAGGTGAAATTTGGAAATTTTCAGCTCCTTTTATCTTATGGTGTTGAGATATTGTAGCTGATAGCTAGGGTTCTCAGGAAGGAAAAGCCAAAATAAAAAAAGAAAGAAAGAAAGAAAGAAAAAGAAAAAAGAAAGAAAGGAAAGAGGAGGAAAGGAGGAAGGAGGAGAGGAGCCTCTCCCACCCTTAGCCTCTCTGGTGAGAGGCATACCTTGCCTTACTGTGCTCCACAGGTCATTGTGTTTTTAAAATAATTATTTCATTTTATTTTTGATTAGCATGTATTAGTTGTATGTATCAGTGGGGTTTGGTGTGCTATTTCCACACATGCCTACAGCACGCACAGATCAAATCCAACTTCCCTTTATTCATCCCCTCAACATCCACCTCACCCTTCCCAACCGCTATGAATCACTGCTCTATATTCAGGTTGACTTTATTTTTAGCTTTCATATAGGAGAGAGACAATGTGGTACTTGTTCTGTTTCTGGCTTATTTCACTTAACATCGTGCCCTCCAATTCCATCCATTTTGTTGAAAATGACAGGATTGCATTCTTGGTGTCTGAATAACACTCCATTGTGTGCACAGTTTCTTCATCTATTCATCTCCTGATGGACTGGTGGGCTGATTCTGTATCTTAGCCATTGTGAATCGTGCTGCAATAAATGTGGGCGTGCAGTTATCTCTTTGGTAGACCAATGTCATTTTCTTTGGATATATACCCAGAAGTGCAATAGGTGGATCATATGCTAGATCTATTTTTAGTTTTTATGTAGAACCTCCACACTGTTCTCCATGATGGCTATACTAATGTACACTCCCACCAACAGTGTCTGAGAGTTTGTTTTCTTCCACATACTTGCCAGCATTAAAAAAAAAAAATTATTAGTATTCTAGCTGGGTTGAGAGTCTCACGGTAGTTTTGATTTCATTCCCTGATGGCATTTTTTCAATACATTTGTTGCCCATTCATATTTCTTCTTCTGAGAAAAGTCTATTCAGATCATTTGCCCATTTTAAAATCAGATTTCCTGTTCTTTGTTGCTGTTACTAATTGCACTGTAAATTTGTTGCAATCCATACAACAAATTTCACGGTTATAAATTGAAGTTTTGTGGAAACTCTGTGTCCAGCTAGTCTGTAGGTGCTATTTTCTCAAAAGCATTGCTCTCAGTTCATGCCTTTGCATCACATTTTGGTAATTCTTGCAACATGTCAAACTTTTTCATTATTATTATATGTGTTATGGTGATCTGTGATCTTTGATATTACTGCTGTCATTGTCAAAATAATAACATCATCGGGGCTGGGGATGTGGCTCAAGCGGTAGCGCGCTCGCCTGGCATGCATGCGGCCTGGGTTCGATCCTCAGCACCACATTACAAACAAAGATGTTGTGTCCGCCGAAAACTAAAAAATAAATATTAAAAAAAAAATAACATCATCAGCTTGGGCAAAACTGATTCCAATCCTTGTGGTTGATTTTGAGGGATTCAAGAACTCAGTGGAGGAAGTCACTTCAGAGGTGGTAGAAATTGCAAGGGAACCAGAATGAAGAGTGGAACCTGACAGAGTGACTGAATTGGTCCATCTCATGACAAAAATATAACGAATGAGGAATTGCTTCTGCGGATGAACCAAGAAAATGGTTTCCTGGGATAGCATCTACTCCTGGTGAAGACCACGTGAACATTGTGGAAATGACCAGAAAGGATTTAGAAAACTACACAAGCTTCCCTAATAAAGCATGGTCAGGATTTGAGAGGATGCCTCTAGTTTTAAAAGAAGTTCTACTGCAGGCAAAATACTATCAAATGGCAATGCATGCTACAGAGAACTATTTCATGAAAGGAGGAATCAATCCATACAACAAATTTCACGGTTGTCTTATTTTAAAACATTGCCAGAGTCGCCCCAACCTTCAGCAACCACCATCTTGACCAGTCAGCAGCTCAGCATTGAGGTGAGGTTCTCCATCAGCAAACAGATCATTACAACTTGCTGAAAGCTCAGATGATTGTTAGCATTTTTTTTAATCAATAAAGTATATTTTTTCCTGTTACTGTCTTTATCTTTTTTCCACATTCTTATCAGTGCCTTATAGTTGGAAAATATGTTTAAATTAAGTACGCTTAATGGACATTTTTTAAACATAATGCTATTATTGCACACTTAATAAAGTATATGTAACTTTTATGCATACCGAGAAGTTGAAAATCTAGCTCAACCAATTGTATTGCAATTTGTTCACTTTACTGTGGTAGTTTGGAACTGAACCTGCTGCCATGGTGTGCCTGTACAAACCCTGCAGCGGGAACAGAGTCGATAGTGGAGGGAAACAGAGTGAGCAGGTATCAGTGTAGAGTTTAGGGAGAGGGGCAGAAGTTCCCATGAAAGAGCTCGGTCTTGGACTGTGCTTGAAGGATGGATCTACTACCTAAAAGAAGTTTTTCTTCACTATGTAATTCCATGTATGTACAGTTACTTGCAAATTACTTTTCTAATTTATTCTCTTATTGGGATGGGTTATTCTCTTCTTGGGGATCGAGAGTGGGGCTTTGGCTCTAAAATGAAACAGAGCAGACTAAATCCTGGCTCTTGGACTTATCAGCTGTGTGGCTTTGGGCAAGTTACTCAAGGTCTCTGAGACTCAGTGTCTTCATTAATAAACTGGAGATAATAAAAAATAACCATCTTATAGAATCGCTGAAGATGTAAATAAAAATAATCAAAGAAAGGGGCTTCGCATAGGCCTGGCATAAGAGAAATACTTAATAATAATCCGTGGTGTCCACTTTTTATGTAAATTTATTGACTGTGACTTGGAAAATAGAGGAAAAAAGCAGAACTAAAACCTATCAGTGATTTTACACACGAAGAAGAAAACCACAGTTAACATGTTGGAGTTTCAGGCAATGCATAATTTTCAGGCAATGCATAATTTAGATGGCTTCCCACCCCTTTTGTATTGCCAGTCATTTGGAATATAAAATTTAAATCTTAATTTTCATTTACTTAGTGTAAGAATTCTTTCCATCTGATTGTGATTTCTTCAGAAAAATTTTAATGACGTCAATGCATTAAATCGAGTTGGTGTATTATAATTTACTTAATCATTCTCCTATTGTTAGACATTTATATGGATTCCAGTTTTATTCCTCTATTCTAAATAGCTTAGTAATAAATAAATATGTACCTGAACTTTTCCTTTATTGTGTATCATTTCTTTAGAACTGATTGCCAGACATTAAATCACTGATGTAGAAGGTAGGAACAGTTTGTGAGCCTACTTGTTGCCAAAACAATTCCGAGGCCGGTGAAGGAGGGGATTCCATCTCCAGACCCCTCCCTCACGCCATTCATCTTCCCACGATGAGGACAGGAAAAAGCCGAGTATGATTAACCAGAGGTGCAGGCCCTCACTGGGTCCCCGCTGCCAGTGGGTAGGTCACGGGGCAGAAAGAAACCGGGAGAAGGGCATCTGCGTCTTATTTCTGCTACAACGTGTTGAATGCGGTCTGAGGGGAAAGCTGGCCCAGACATGAACTGCAGGAGGAAGCCTGGACACTGCTTGTGCTCCTTCTCCTCCCACGGAGCAGGCAGGCCTGGGACCCTCACTGGCCTGAGGACCAAGAGCCAGAGGCGCTTTCTGTCCAGGTCTCTTCCTCTGAGGCCGCATTCCCAGCCCAGGTGAATGTGCAGGGTGCCCTCTTTCCCTGCAAGATGGTCTCCCCAAGGCTCCGGAGTGGGGAGAGGGCTGCTCCAGGGGCTCAGGGGCAACTGTGCAGAACATTTTCATGTACAGAATTTTGCTTTGGGGGGGAGGCAGCTAATCACGTTCCCCTTGGACTTTGCCTCCCTTCGGCACCGCCTGGGGAGGTTTCTTCTTTTGTAAATTAGAGATTAATAATAAAAAGTCTCCTGTGGGATGAAGGGACTCCCACCCTCTCTGGCTCCCTTGTCCTGAATTCTCTGAATTGTTCCGTGAAAGGAAGAGTTGGTAAATATTTGACAACTGGCTTAGTTAACAACTGGCTCTCCAGGAAAGAAAGAAAGAAGGAAAGGAAGAAAGGAAGGAAGGAAGGAAGGAAGGAAGAAAGGAAGGAAGGAAGAAAGGAAGGAAGGAAGGAAGGAAGGAAGGAAGGAAGAAAAAAAGGCCCAGAGTTGTCGTGTTTGGAGATTTCCGTGCACTACTGATTCCCACCATGGTTTTAGAGCAAATGCTTCTACCAGGACAGATTTCAAGGTCCGGCCACTTAATAACCAGTTTACAAAACTCCCGACATTGAGCAATAGTCTCTTGCAAGCAAGAGGAAGCCCTCTCTCGCACACTAAGGGTGAAAAACCACGGGATGGGATGATGCTCTCATTTCATCAACGTGGGGTAAGAGCAGGGGCGCAGACAATGACCTCCGCAAGGCGGGGAACCAGAGAAACTAAAGCCCGCAGGGTTCTCTCTGGAGACCAATCTCCTGCTTTTTCCTGCTGCAGATCCGCTCTCTCCATGTTTCAAGAGACGTGGCTGCAGGAAGCGTCCAGAGCTACCTCCTCACTGATTCACAGCCAGAGAAAAAGGAAGCCTTCAGAGCAGGAGAGTAATCCCAGCGCAGCCCCGGTCAGTGGTTAGTCGTGCATTACTTTCCCCTGGGAGCAGAAGGTGGGTGCACTGCCTGAGGATGGCGGGGGTCTGTCGGATGGGGGCCGGAAGAACTGTGGTCAGACCAAACCAGGACTTCCCCTTACGCTGCTGACCATCCGTGTGCCACAAGGACACTCCTCCCATTTCTACTAGTCTTCAAAGTGGCTGAATCAATGACAGAACAGAGGAGCTACTTCACATTACCTATTTTGGCATTATATTTTATAGCTTAAAAAAACTCAGCTAATTTTATAGGTAAAAAAAGAAACCCATTGATATTTTAAGTGCTTCTATTTTTTTTTATGCGGCAAGTGGGTTAGCAAATATGCTATGTGTTAAATAATCGTTATTTTGTCTTCTGTGAATTATGTTCCTGTCTTTTGCTCACTTATCTTCTGGAGTTGGAAGTTAGTTTTTAATTTCTTCACTCAGCAAATATTTACTTGTTTGCTGTACTAGGCCAAGCCTCTGTAGACACAGGAAATAAATAAGATAATAAATAAGATAGAGAGCGTTCCCATCTTCACAGTACTTACCCTCTATTTGTATGGCCTTTTAAAACAATAATATATGATCTTTTTTGTCATCTGAACAACAAATAATTTTCCTGTGTGTTTTCTGTCATCTTCAATATAGCAGTTTTACATTTTTTATGTAAAGTCTGATCTACTTTCCTTTTTTTTTTGGATACTGGGGATTGAATGCAGAAGTGCTTTACCACTGAGCTACATTCCTCAGCCTTTTTATTTCTTGAGACAGGTTCTCACTAAGTTGCTTAGGGCCTTACTAAGTTGCTGAGGCTGGCCTCGAACTTGTGATCCTCCTGCCTCAGACTCCTAAGCTACTGGTATTTCCTTTCCCCTTTTAACAACCTTTTTCCACATGCTTAGAGATTCCATTTTCCCATAAACAATTTAAGAAATGATTTATTTATTTCTGGCTTTCCCTGGCATGATACTTTTACATTCAATTATTTTATTAATTTGTAATTTAGCACAGTGTTTCGCATGAGCAGAGTATTTACACTGGTTATTTCTCCAAACGTTTAACACTTCCTGCAGCCTTCCCTTCTCCTCGAATCTGTGTAGATGACAACAAAAAGAACTGTGATCGATGGGGACATGAGAAGAGGGATGTCAGGGTTTGGCAAAGGGCAGCTGTTACAGCTCCGCTTAGGGAATTTGGTATGGGAAATGGTGTGGATTGGGTCTGTCTGGAATATGGGGTCCCTATAGTGTAGTGACTCTTAACCAAGGTTGGGGAAACCTGTCAAACGGGGAGCTTTAAGAGATCCTCTTGCCTGGGCCCTACCATTAGTAGGTCTCCTATTAAGACAGAGGTCTGTCTGTTTTTAAAGCTCCTGTTATCCCAGTGACTCGTGAGGCTGAGGCAGAAGAATCATAGTTTTGAGAACAGTCTCAGCAATTTAGCAAGACCCTGTCTCAAAATAAAAATAAAATGGGATGGGAATATAGCTTGGTGGTAAAGTGGGTTCAATCTCCACTATACACACACACACACACACACACACACACACCCAGGCACCTGATACAGGAAATTATGGGAGATAAATTGTGTTAGACAAGGAGGGGAGCAGAAAGAGAGAGGCATCAAGGCCAAGGTGAACTTAGCTACAGGTTCAGGAGGCCTCTGGAGTGTGGATGTGGATCCAGGCAGGTGGGCTTCAATCTCATTTTTACCCCTTGCAAACTGTATTCTGGGCAGATTGCTGGTTCTCTTCCATTTCCTCTTTTAAAAATTTTTTCCTCTCTCTCTCTCTCTTTTTTTTTTTTTTTGGTTTTAAACAAACTTAATGATATTTACCTAACAGGTTTGTGATGAGTCAATGGGAAACCAGCACCTGTCATCTGCGTGAATTCTCCCCTCTTCTTCTCCAGTGAGCCTTTGGCTCACGCCAGCCCTGCCTCCTTGCTGCCTTCGTGATGAACACACACAAGATATAAGAAAACATGCCAATACAGGCCCAGATGAGAAACAGGGAATCGAGTTGTCCTTGACTCCCAGAGAGCTTCAAAGGGGCTGCACCTTTTCAAAGAGGGACATTTCTGCCTTAGAGAAACGGTGAGGAGCTCCACATTCACACAGGCCTTCCTTCAGAGCCTGGTTGCTTGGCAAAGGTCAAGTCCGGCTCCACCATGGTGCACCTCAGCTGGGCCACAAACATCATCCCAGCCCCTGGGCTGCTTAACCCACGAACCAAGGCAGCAGTTGTGAAAAGGACGCAGCCACAGCTCTCTTCATCAAAGAGAATTCCTCCAGCAAGTTTGTTTACAGAGCAAAGATTCTCCCTCCTGGGGGGCGGGAAATAGCATTCCTTCCTGGAGGATCCGACTGCTTTCCCTTCATGTCACATTCTGGGATTTGACAAATATTTATTGATATCTCCTCTGTTTGACAAGTCCTTTGAAACTGGCCTCTACAGGGTAATCATTTAAAATTGATTTTCATGCTGCCTTATGTTATAAATTGATGGCAAATATTTATTTTATGATTAGGTGCTCATCAGTATTCCTTGGAGGCCACCCACCCAGGAGGCAGTGTGGCTTGGCGAAGGGAGAGGGGACGCAGAATCAGACACGTGTGGTCTGACTCTTGACGGGTCTAGATGTGTGACGTTGCATGGAGAGCTCAGACACTCTGGGCCTCAGTCTTTCTTTTCCCCCGAGAACATCTTTCTAACTCAAAAGCCAGTGCTCTCTTCCTCAAAGAGCCCCTTTCGGTTGGGTGGAGAGGAGGCAAGAGTGCATCGATCCTGGCAGACAGGGGTTGGCACCGTTTCAGAGGAACAGAGGGGAAGACCCCAGCAGGCCCAACCCGAGAGGGTGTGTTTGGGAATGAGAGTTACCACTGGGTTGGTGAATGGAAAGTGCTCTGTGTGGCACATGGGTCACACCCCAAAAGCCCAGGTTGTAGGATAGGGGTTTTGGAAGTCCCTGGATGATGGTGGGGCTTGAATAAAAGCCTCCTATCAACAGAGTGCTCGCCTGCTTGTCCTTCACTGGACATCAGAGAAAATAACCAATAGAAAGATGGTGTTTTTCTTGCTTGAAGAAAGAACAAGGGGACCTGGGCTTATTCAAACAAGAAAGGTAATATCGGCTTCTTCGCTTGAGAAAGCCACAGAATTATCCTGTGTCGCTAAAGAGTCCCCTTTCTAGGAGACCTGAAGTCTCCTGGCTGGCAGAGGCTCAGGGGCGGTTCATGAGTGGCTCTCATTGTCTCCTACACACTGGATGAGTCTCCTGAACTCCCCAGACATGCTTGCTGGGTTGGAAGCCTCCTGGAGAGCTTTAGCTCATTTGTCCCCTGTCCCCACTCCTAGGCAGACACCTTTCAGAGGCTCATCTCATCTGAGTTTCAAACAGCAGGCACCTAATCCTGGTCGCCATGTCCCAGGTGATATTCCAAAGCTGATGAGCACCCTGGGCCCAGAACCCAGGCACTTTCCCTGCCCCTGCTAGACATGGCCGGTAAATGAAGGGGCCCCAGGAACAGATCAGAAGTTACAGTCCAAACTCCTGGACTCCCTATCTTTTTGAAGATTGAGGAATCCTATCAAAGGGATATAATGGTGCATCTACGCACAATTGTGGTGTCACCTTAAGACCTACGGATTTCCAGAGCAAAGGCCAACCTAAGGAAACAAGTCTCTGATGCAGGTGAACTTCAAGGACAACCAGGTATTAATGGTTAGGGACAATGACCTGTGCAGGACAGCAAGCCCCAGTTCTTCTAGTAGTTACTAGTTACTGGATCTTACTAGGCTCCAGGTCTTGTGCTGAGTATTGGCCTGGTGCTATGAGAGACACAGTGAGGATAATTGACAATGACAATGACAATAGTAACAGCCACATGTGCTGAGAGCTAGGTGCCAGGCATTGGGTTCATTTAATCTTTTATTCAATAAATAGAAGGGGCTCCACAGAGTACTTGCTAGATGAATTGCTCACTGACATCCACTGTGCACCTCCTTTCCCTTCTCGGGAAGGGACTTTGCTTTTGCTCTTTTCTCTGCCAAGAGGCTCTTCTGCTCCCTCCCTTCTTCAGGTCTTTACTCATGTGTCACCTCAGTGAGGTCTCCTTGACCTGCATCTCAATCCCATACCCTTCAGGTCCTCCCCGCCATGTCCCCTCACCTCCCCCAGCCCCTGATACTACTTAGCATAATGCTTTTGACTAATGGCTATTGTCTGGGCTCTGCTAATCTCAGAGCTCAATGAAGACAGGACTTTGGACCACTTTGTTCACTCCTGAGATCCCCTGTGTAGGTCACATGCTTGAATTTGTTCAGAGCTTGAATTGAATGAAAGAAATATTTTCCTAGTGTCAATGATATACCCAGATAACAATGTGCAGCAAGGTAGCACAGTGGATAAGCAGACAAGGTGTTGCCAACTAAAGGCCTGAGGCCTGGGAGAGATACGATATTAAGCTAATTATGCAATAATCTCCATTCTCCTGAAACAGAACACTCTGGGTGCTTGACTGTATCTTTCACTGAAGCCTCACTAGAACCCCAGGACGTGGGTACCATAATTCCCAATTTATAGAGCCTATCTTTGCTTTTTCTATGGCTGCAAATACCCACATAGGTTCTAAATTACAAAAGGACTGGACTGACTTAGTTGGCACACAGTAAAGTTAACTATGCAACTTCTAGCTCTGATGGCCTTTGGATGTTTATTATTTCCCATGAATCCTGTGAAATGTTCATGCTACTTCTACAGAAGTTAGATAACTTAACCAGAGCCACATACATAGTAAGTCTTCCAGATAGGATCAAACCCAGTCTGTATGCTTACCACTCTTCCTCATTCTAAAGAACTTTGAGGTGGAGGGACTAGGTGGGGGATGGAGAGGTCATCCAGGACTAGACTTTATTATAATAGGAGGCAGTTGGGACTTTGATGTCGGAGGCTGGGAAGAACACCTGGAACAAAGAACAAAGGCTTGCAGGTAGCTGTAGGGCAGGGAGTGGTAGGCCAAAGGGAGGCCTGCTCCTCCAACCCCACCCTACTCCCACTCCTGGTATTGTGGTTTGATTCTAATGAGGAGATAAGGCAGATAACCAGCAAGGCAGGGCCAAGATGAGAATCTTGTCTGGGAAGTATAGCCCTCCAGTTACCTCTCCATCTCATTAACTTAGGATCGGATCATCTCCATACACCCCTTCTGATTTTTTTCATTACATTAGCAAAATGTATTTATACTGTTATCTGAGCCTCTCATAAAATGTTGCATTTTTCACCAGATACCTCCTGAACTAAACTCTCAAATCTTTTGAGCCTTTCTCAACATCCTCTTAGGTATCCTGACAGAGTGGTACAGAGAATTGGCATAGCATTCTAAGTCATGTACTGTCATATCCATTCTTTCCCCACCCCCAAATTCACATCGAAGTCCTCTAGTACCTCATAATGTGACTGCATTTGGAAACACAGTCTTTAAAGAGGTGATTAAGTTTAAAGGAGGCTGTAGGGTGAATCCCGATGCAACCTGACTGGTGTCCTTTTAAGAAGAGGAAATTTGGACACCTAGGGAGACATGAGATCACGTGAAGACACGGAAAGGTGACTATTCATTTACAAGCCAGAGAAAGAGGCCTCGAAAGAAATTAAACCTGCTGACCCCTCGATTTTGGACTTTTGGCCTCCAGAAATGTGAGAAAATAAATATCCGTTGTTCCAGCTCAGTGCTCATTTGGTGGTATTTTGTTATAGAAGCTTGAGAAAATGAATACACCATCCATCTATTTGTCCTTCTGCCCATCTGTTCGTCTGTCCATCCATCCATCCATCAAATACTGAGTGCCTCCTGCTATCCAGGCAAACTACCTTGCACTGGAGATAAAAAGGGAACAGATCAGTCTTTTGCCCTGAAACTTCTATTGTGGAGAACAGTAAACAACTAGTCTATTAGAATGGTGAGTTCTACGGCCTAGGAGCTGGAGGTGCAGCGAGGATGGGTACCTTATCCAGGTTGGGAGGAAAGGCAGGAAAAAGATCAAGGAAGCCGAGTTCCTCAGGGGAGGGTAAATTAGGGCAACTGCAAGGAAGCTGGGTCTGGCTAAACATGGAGGAGGAAGGGATTAGGGAGAGCAACCAGGCTAGAGAGAGGAAAGAAAAGGCGCCAGATTTGGAGGGATTTTTAAAAAATGTTTCGCTAGGGCAGAGGCTCTTATAATTTCTTTTCCTGCCTACAGCACCCCTAAGGAATGAAATACTTCCACCCAGAGCATAGTAAGAGGAGCCCTTGCAAAGGTGAATTGATTGAGGAAGGCTGGGATGTGGCTCCTGCCCTCCCTTCCCAACTGGACGTTCCCACTGCTTCTGAAGTACGTGGGGTTTATCTGGGTCGGTTACTTACCCTCCAGGCCCTCTGTCCTCCTCTGTCTGTACATTTGTATGCCAGCTCAGAGAGTGAGTTTTAGGCTCAATTGCCTAGATTCTAGCCTGTTCTGCAATTCTTAAGTAGTGTCCCCTTGGGCAAGTGGTCCAGTGTCATGGGCACTGGATATGTGCTGCTGTGGTGCCTACACCAGAGACTCACTGAAGTGAGAGGAGGTAATGAAGGTAAAGCTCCTGGCACGGTGCCTGGCATTCAGCAAGCGATCAGTAAATACCAAAGACCACAGGGCGTGTGTCACTGAAGCTCCCTTGCAGCCCAGCAGTGGCAGCAATCATCCTGCTCATTGTCATAGATGTCATCACTGCCACCATTTTCACCATCCCATCACCACCATCTTACCATCGAATCACCCCCACCATTGCCACCATCATCACTGCCATTGCCATCGTTCCCAAGATCATAGCGCTGGAGCTCTTGGAGGCCATACTCACTGAGTTCCTTCCTTCCACTATTCTCTCTTGTAGATGTCTTATGAAAGGGAAGGCCCTATGTAGACAAGTTGTAATAATGTGATATTTGTAACATTTGTTGAGCACTAGGCATCATTCTAGGCACTGGGGATAGAAGATAGAACTAAATAAAGTTCCTTTACATAGGGTGGTCAAGGTGGCATTTGATTTGAAGAAGTAAAGAACCTTGTAGATACCTGGGGTAAAGTTGCCAGGCCCAGGGAACAAAATTCCAAAGCTCCGAGTAGGAACATACTGGCATACTGAGGAGCAACAAGGAGGCCCATGTGGCCGGAAGGCAGTGAGCAAGGGGTGTGACAGGATGAGATAAGAGGTGGCAGGGGGCAGAACGTGGGAACAGAGAGGTCACTGTAAAAACTCTGGCTTTTGTCCTGTCTTGGAAAGTCATGAGAGGGTTTTGGATAGAGGTGTGACATGAATTGACTTATATTTAGGTGAAGATGTTCTCGACTGTGCTGAAAACAGACAGCAGGGCAGCAGGTTCTTGGCCGGGGAGGCCAGGTGGGAGGTTGTTTCAATAACCCGCATGTGAGCTGCCAGTGGCTCCCATCAGCAGGTAACTCACCGCGGAGGTTACTGGAAGTGGGAGACGCCGAAGGCAATTAGGACGAAAAGCCAACTGTGAAGGAGAACTCCCCCCACCTCCACCCACCCTCCGTTTGGAGAGCATTCCAGGGCTCATGTTGGCCTCTGTGGGCCTTGTCAACCTGGAACAGGAGAAGAGGCAACCGGCACTCACGGGAGAGCTCCATGCATTCTAACTGAAACGAGGGAACCGAGAGGGCTGTGGGCATACAGATCTTCACCCTATAGTCTAAGGTCCACGCTGTCCGCAGGTCTTATGAGGCAAGTTGGGTTGGTCGGAGGAGATGTCTCCGGTTCCAGCTGCATTCCTGACCATCCAGTATACTCTGGGGAGAAGGGATGGAGGAGTCAGGAGGAAAAGGGAAGGAGCAACTCCCCTGAATGTGTCCCATGCTGGCTCAGAAAAGGGGACAGCAGAATGGAAATCTCCAAAAGCCACTGGACCCTGCTGCCCCAGACATTCCCATGACCACTGGCCAGCCTCCTCCTCTGGGTGTAACCAAACACCACAGTGGAGCCCTACTTAAAGGAAAACACTGCTGCCTTTTTTAGTTAAACACATCATAGCGTGTGGTTTGTAAGCCACATATGGTGCTGGAGATCCAAGAAATAAGGATGAAAGAAAATCCTTGAAGTCTAGACACAGAAACTCTGTGAAGTTATACTTGCCCCTGGTGACTCGGCAAAATGTTAGCTACCTTTTCCTCATGGAGCCTTCCTCTATGTATCTAGAATCATCATTTAATCCTTACAACAACCTGGGAAAGTAGTTCTTGTAACTGTCATCTTAAAGATGAAGACACTGAGGTTCAGAGAGGTCACACTCTGCAGTCCACTGAGTCTGAACCCAAGTTGGTTTGTTCCAGAGCCGTCTTAACCATCATACTCACTGCGCCCAGAGGAAAAAAAAAACGGTGAGAGGGAAACACTGAAGGCTACAGTCCCCCTCGCCTCACCCTCTGTTCTTCCAGGTAGAAGCACAAGCTGAGAATCCTTCCATTCTATCTCTGGCCTGCAGTCTGCCAGCTGAAAAAAAGCGTAGGTATCACTGAACTGTTCTCCATATCAGATGACTATTCTCTCTAAGAAAGAGGTTTATATAAATAATACGATCTTTAGAGATGCACTTTACAGAAGGGGTGACCCTGAAACTCCCAGAGGAGGTTAAGTACACTTCCCAAGGTCACATTGGTGGCAGAGCCAAGGCTCAAAAAGCAGGGCTCCCGCCTCTGGGGCCAGCATTTGGCTGGGCCCCAGCAAGCTGTTCTGCATTATCACTGTCTCTGCCCCTGACACGGATGACTGCTTGAAGGAGGATGATCTCTTTTGTGCACTAGAGATTCCAAGCACATTTTGAACACAGCTGGACCGTTTTTAAAGCAGGTTCTTCTGAGAACCTTCTAATCTGCTGGGTTGTCCGTTTTCCTCTGCCATCTCTGTGCCACCCAGGTAGACTCCTGTGCCCTGTGGAACCAAGTATTTTACTATCGTTCCTGGTAGTCACCGAGTGTGAGGATGGTCCTCTGTCTGGGGCAGATGATTATGTTATAGCAGGTTCAGCTGCAGAACCTGCTATAATTTACTCTGGCCTCCCTCACTAATAGTGACTATTGTAGCCCTCTGGCCTCTGGACCCACTCCACTGGCTCATCTCTATACGCAGCACACACCCTTCATGCAGAGGCAGGTGTCCTGGACTCACCCCACTTCTGCCACAGAAATATCCTCCCTGCTCTCCTATGCAAATCCATTCTTTGAGGTATTTCAGCCCCAGAAGGACTTCCTGCATACAGCCCAATAGTTTGCTGTCCAAGTTCTCTTTACGTTTCTATTCTCAACCTTGGGTGTTAGTCCTTAGCATGTTTCTGCGTATTTCTTCAAATCCAATGCAGCTTGTTGAGGGGAAACATAACTGTTCACTCCTTCCCTAGAGAATTTTAAAAGCATCTTATGTGAGATAAAAGAGAAACCTAAACAATGTGCTTCCTGCCTGCAAGGAGAGGAGTTTACAGACATAGTAGGCCTTCAGTCCGGCACATAGTGGGCCCTCAAGTTAGGTTTAACTAACACATAGAATGCCTTGTTACCATTATTTGCTAAGTCCCATGAGAGGTATCGAGTGGTGTCACAGGGAAAGCATCAGGAAAGCAGTGGCATTTGAACTTGGCTTTAAGAACAGGAAATGTCTTTTCTTTTAAAATAGATCCGGAGGGTAGGGAAGAAATGCATTCCTCTGCACAAAGCCAGGCACACACCAGGGACCAGATACAGGAGGAACCCGGAGGGAGGTTCTGTCCTGTACTAGCACCAATTAGCTTGATGTGACTACCCTGGGCCTCAGTTTCCTTCACATTTGGAGGAGATTAAACCACAGTTTTGGGAAGAAGCAGATCTATGTATAACCTTGAGCCAATCAGTTGGGGGGGGAGGGGGCCTGTCTCAGTGTCCTTCCTATAAAATGGGTAAAGTAATTGCTACCTGCCAGGGCTTTTGTGAGGAACCCTTGTAAGTTGCTAAGCACGGAGCCTGGAATTATTTTATTTTCTGCAAAACTAAGGGTGACAACCCTGATCCGTGTTCCTGTCGGTGCGGCTGCTGCTGGCTTCCAGGCACCAGCCCTAAGTCTGTCCAAAGTAGGGGCTATGGAAGACCTTGTGACCCTCAAGACAACAGAGTACAGAGGGCTGGGCAAAGTGCTGTCCAGGGTCCAGGGGCCGGCGGGCTGGGCTACCAGGGGCGCTCCATCAACGCGTCCCT